ATCAGTATAAAATAAAAATATAGGAGGAGAAAGAGAAGGAAGAAGAAGTTGCCCAGGCCAGATCATATGTTTTAACAATTGAAATGATGTTTAAATAAAAAGGTCTTTACCTGGCGCCGAAAAACCAGTAACGACGGTGCCAGGCGGACCTCTTTGGGGAGTGAATTCCATAGGTTGGGCCCCTGGATAATATGTTAGAAGTGGCCCCTTGCATACCTATCCCCACCCCAAGCACACACCAAAAATTACCTCCTGAGAAACATTTGCTTTGTTCTTTCTATGCCAAGTTTGTCAACAGTGCTTGGAGATATCTTCGGTATTTGGAAGAATATGTGAGAGCCTTCCCTAGTCTGTTTCCTTCCATATGTTTTGGACTCTGATGCCCTGGCCATGCTGACTGGGGCTGAAGGGAGTTGTCCAAACTCTCAGGCTGGGGAAAGCTGACCTAAAATACACTGGATAATACTCCTTATCTAATAGGAACATCTCAAATATATGAAACAATAGGTATTTCTGAGGCGTGTGTGAGAAAGAGGGAGAGCCAAGAGAGAACCAATGAGACTGGGTTCAAATGCCACAATAACCCACTCACAGGGGTTGAATGTGAGCTATCATTGAACAGTGAGTTGTTGAACTATATGTTATTCTGTTGTCAGAACTCTTTCAACATAACGAACTATGGTGATCAACTCCCAGTTGATAACCCAACAACAAACCATGGTTTCTTCTTGGGTTGTCCATGGTTAACAAGTCATGGCTTCTTAGCACAGCTCAGTTCAGGCAACATGATACCAGTTCAGGCAACCCCTTCTGCCATTGTTGGCTGATGGCCCAGCTATGCCTCTAAACAGAAAAAACTTGTTTTCAGGAATCTATGCTCTGAAAGTCTCCAAGTTAGATCACTGCAATGCACTCTGGATGGGGCTACCCACAGAGACTATGGCTTGAACAAAATGTTGCAGCTAGACTAAGAACTGGGACCAGAAACTCTGAACATATAACACTAATTTTGGTTTGCTATCATTGGCTGCTACCTATAAAACCTTATACAGTTGTGTAAATCTCTTAGTGTAAATCTACCCAGATGCTACACTCAATATCTAAGACTTTCTTCCAAGTGCCATCTACAAGAAGGCCTTCTTTTTGCCCCCGCATATCATGGAAGTATCTCTCCACTGATTCTGCTTTGCCTTTGACACCAGACTGTTCTTTGTGCTGAAGCATATAATGGGACTTCATTGCTCTTACTGGTATATGAGGCAGAGGGTTTATGCCAGCTGTTTTTAACAGATCCAATAGTATTAACTAACTCTAGTTGCTTATATTGTTTCAATTCAGTTTTTAAACTTTTGTAATGAAATGTTACAGTGTTTTTATTACATTTTATTTTCATACTGCATTTTATCATATCTATGAATTGTAAATTGCCTGAAAATGGTTGGCTATCAGACAGTATAGAAATGAAATAAATGATAATGATGATGCCCCGCTTGTCAACACACACTCAACTCATATTCAACTCTTGTGTTTGGAGTTAATGCGTTGTCTGAACCCAACCACTGGGGGAGGGAGGAGCAGTCACAAGATAAAGGAAGGCAACAGAGCACCCAGAAACTCAAACAGGGGCCTTACAACTGGAAACCAAAGGTCCATTGCAAGGAAACAGAGCACTAACTTCGGAGTACTAAACAAACAGAGACTGAAGAGAAAGTCAGGGAAGCATATTTTGTCTCCAGGTGCTGAATTTTCAACCTGTTCTTATGGCAAAATGAAGAACAAAATTCTCAGGAGGAAGGGGCAGGATTAGGCTCAGACAACCAGCATGAAACAGTGCACCTTCTCCAAGTAAATTCCTTGGCCCCTTCCGGTGGTTTGGTGACCCAGACCAAGTGCATCTTGCTCTAAACTGCTGTGCATCTTCCCAAGCAGCGTGAAGGAAGCAAGGTGGCCACATGTCCTATATTTTGTCCCCTTTGCTGTTCAACATATACATGAAACCGCTGGGAGAGGTCATCAGGAGGTGTGGGCTGCGGAACCATCAGTACGCTGATGATACCCAGCTCTACCTCTCGTTTTCCACCAATCCAGGTGAGGCAGTGGCTGTGCTGAACCGGTGCCTGGCTGAGGTAATGGGCTGGATGAGGGCCAATAAACTGAAGCTCAATCCAGACAAGACGGAGGTCCTGTTGGTTGGTGGATCGGGCTTCGGAGAGGGTGAATTGAACCTTGTCCTGAATGGGGTTGCACTCCCTCTTAGGGACAAGGTCCGCAGCTTGGGAGTGCTCCTCGACCCAGAGCTTTCACTGGAAGCTCAGGTAACAGCAGTGGCGAGGAGTGCTTTCCTCCAGCTTCGGCTAATTCATCAGCTGCGCCCCTATCTGGAGAATGACTGCCTTGCGACAGTGACACATGCGTTGGTGACTTCCCGTTTGGACTTCTGCAACGCGCTCTACGTGGGGCTACCCTTGAAGACGGTCCGGATACTTCAATTGGTCCAAAATAGAGCTGCCAGGCTGCTGACGGGGACTGGACGTTATGTTCACATGACTCCAGTTCTCCGTCAGCTTCACTGGCTTCCCATTGAAGTCCGGGCCCAATTCAAGGTGTTGGTTATGACCTATAAAGCCCTAAACGGCTTGGGTCCTGGTTACCTGAAGGAGCGCTTACATCCTTATATGCCCAGCCGCCCCCTGAGATCGGCGGGAGAGGCCCTTCTCCGGGAGCCCTCCATGGAAGAAGTTAGGAGGGTGGTTACTCGGAGGAGGGCTTTCTCAGCGGTGGCGCCTAAGTTATGGAATGCGCTCCCCAGAGAGGTCCGCCTGGCGCCGTCGTTATTTGTTTTTCGGCGCCAGGCAAAGACCTTTTTATTTAAGCAGTATTTTAAATGTTAATATTATTGAATTTTATTTGGCCAGGGCGGCTTGTTTTATAGTGTATATTTGTATTTTATTGTATATATTTTAAAATGTTATTTTAAATTTTTTGTTGTAAGCCGCCCCGAGGCTTCGGCGAATGGGGCGGCATAAAAATGTTTTAATAAATAAATAAATAAATAAATAAATAAATATATATTACATGGGACAGTCTTCTATTTGATGGATTGTCCAGTGCAAGCCCAGTTGTAAGATAAAGAACCAAACCATAAGAAGCAGACAAGAAGCACTCAAAGTTGCCCATTAATGGTTTGCATCTGGACAGCAGGCAGAGCAGGAAAATGAATCTCCTGGTCACCCTTCTTTCTATTGTGCAATGCATTGTATTTCTGCTTGAGTCATTGTTTCTCTAACTTACTCAGAACAAGAACTAGGGTGTATGTGCAGATCCAATAGCTCAAACACTCAATCTCTTCCCCAGTTTACATAATAGGGAAGAACAAGTCAGAAAATATAACATCCATATAAGGGAGCACATTATCCAGAATGAAACTGTTAAACTATTAGAAGATAAGCTAGAACAAAATTACCATTTTAATAATTGCATGGCTAACTAGGGTGTACAGGGAGTTGTAGGACCTTTTTCCAATCTTGGTTCTAGACCCAGGAGGTCTGTGTTCCAGTTCCGGATTAGCCGTGGATCCAACTGGGTGACTTTGGGACTCACAGACTACTTCACAGGGTTGTTGTTATAGGAAAAAGATTGAGAGCAGGAGGAGAATGATGTAAACCACTGTGAGTGCTTTAAAAAAAAAAAAGGAAAAAAGCAGGATATACATATAACAAATAAATAAATAAATAACTTGGATTGCCCCTTGCGTTTTCTAATTATGCAATCATACACTGCCTTCTTAGAATTAAGCCCCAACCTCAGCTAAGCATGGATATGACTCTAGCCTAAATATTTCTATTTTTTCAGTCAATCCAGGACAAGTCAAAGTTCAACACTGGGAATCCAAAATAATGATGACAAGGTAGGGTGGGCCTATGCCATTAAACAGGGGTGGGGAAGATCTTTCAGTCTGAGTCAGTCTGAATTCAATTTGGGGGAAGCTCTGAGGGGCTGTCCTCTAGTGATATGCAGGGCCAAAGGCAAAGAGGGTGGGGCCAAAGATGAAAGAAGTGGTACCAAACATACCAAGATGCCATCATGTTACTTACCCCCAGCAACTAAGCCTTAGGAGTGGCGTTGCCACCTTCCGCACTGCAGATGATAGAGCACCCAGAGAAAAACCTCTGATAATTATCACAGTGTACAGGTAGACATGTCCAGGGGCCCACAGTCCTTCCTCTGATGGGCTGATTTTTAGAATACATTATGTCTTCTCTGCAAAATGGCCAAGTTTTTTCCTAAAGTTTCAGTTCAGTGCAATACTATAGTATGTTCCTAATCAGGGCATGTCACATTGAATTCAGTAGGGCTTACTTCAAGATAAATGGGATTCAGCCTCAAACAATAACCAAAAGAGAAGGAAGGAAGGAAGGAAGGAAGGAAGGAAGGAAGGAAGGAAGGAAGGAAATGTAGCCCATAAACCCAGCAATCTAAAAGCACATTTAAAACAGTAAAATAATTATTGGAGTGACCGCTTTATCAGAGCATTAATATAATCCTGCATTTATCAGAATAAATTATTAATAAATTGCAATCACATTAATAAACAATAACAAGAATTGAGTCACCACCAATTTTGATAGCAATTAATTTTGTTAACGCTTCCTATAAAAATGGGAAGAAATAGAGGAACTTCTAACTGCAGGAAGCACAAAGAATGACTATGGAAGAGGCATCCTTGGAATAGAGAAGCAGCTTGACCATGGCGATTTAGAAGGAAAGATTCTACAAGTTGGTCTGCATTGCATGAAGAACGGAGTAAGATACAGGGAAATAGAGACATCTGGAAGGAAGAAGGCAGAAATGTCAAGCCCCATTTACCCAACAGGTTTCGTAACATTCCCAGCAGGCAAACGCCCAGATTTGGCAGTATTCCCAGTGCGAATACTCCCTCCCGGGATTCATATATAAGCACCCAATGTTCATACTGCCTGGATGGCAAGGTGTACTCCTGGATGCTGAATATTTTGGAAGAGTGCCTGCAAGAAAAAGAAGACAAAACAAGAAGTATCAATATGGGACAAGGACCAGGGGGAATAAGGAGATTAATGGGATTGGCTTTACTGATGTTTCTACAGGGGATGATGGGTAAGTGATATGTTTGCTGTATGACCATATATTCCCCACCAGTAGGGGACATGTCTGAGACAGCATCTCCGCACAGCATGTGGTGTGTCTGGAGAATGAATTGCCTGTGGCACTTATCGAAGGTCTGAATACCACTTGGCATGCCATTCTTCTGGAGTCTGCCATCTGGAAAGGGGGAGCTTTGGGAAAAAAAAGGCTCCCCAACGTAGGACCTGCTTGGTCACTGGATGATGGAACGGTTGGTTCCCACTAACTGTTTACTGACTCTTCCATTGTTTTGATTCTTTCTCTCCCTTTGAGCTTTCCTAAAGCATGAAACTATAAATCAAGTAAAGCTTTACTTGACCCAAACTTTCTAGAGCAAAGCAAACCAAGGATCCTTTTCAAGATCAGATGGACTGGATCAAAGATCTGTTTACAAGAATTTTGAAGTTAAGATCCAGTTTGCCTAACTACAGCTGCTAGACAGTCAGTTCAATGTGTGAAAAACAGACTTTGCAAGACTTGAATGGCTTTATACATTCAGTAAAATTTGATGTCTTGAATCTCACTTTCTTGATGGATCAAATATCAGGTGGGCTTTCTTTCCAGACTAAGCAGGAGGCAACCTTACTGAAGTATCCATGTCTTTATCTTTAGAGTCCTTTTATGTATATTGTTCTAATTAGCATGATAATTAAATGTCTGTTTAGCCTTTCTTTGATTATTTTCACCATGAGCTCTATAACATGGATTGGAAGATCAGTATGATGGCCCAAACTTTTAATATTTCACTGATTACTTATACACATTCCCAGAAGCAAGAAAGGCATTTCTTAGAGCAACTGTGATGGCGTCTCCCAACTTGGGTTAATTCCAACTTAAAGCAGCATTTTTAGTCCATGCAGGGATTAATGTACAGCTTTTGGACCCAATTATTATATTTAATATAACCCTATTACAAGTAGTTTCAAAAAAATCTTGTGAGGAGCATTTAGGTGGACCAACAAGACCAGCACAATCTCACTCCAGAGTAGAGGATGAGGGATCATTTATGCTTGAGAGAAACCAGCTCAGATAGAACTTTGGAGGTTCATACAAATCCATTTCAGGATGTTCCACATTCTGATCTCTGAGGTCAGAGACAGAGCACCAACCTAGGAACAACTGAACAGGTGCTTCTCTGGGATCAGAGAAGAAACCTTGCAGAGGGGCTCAAGAGGCTGGGAAGCAGGACTGGAGGCACGGATCCATTCTCATAGCTCAGAACTCTGCCTCTACCACCTTAAGCTTGGGTGGCCACTTACGCATTGCTGGAAAAGAGGAAATGAATCACCAGAGAGGAGAGCAAAAGAAGACACCAGTTTGCATAACCTCCACATAGGCTAATTGTGATACACATTTGAAAAAGGTAACTAATTCAAGTAGAAGTACAAGAGACTGACCAGGTAGCCTGTGCACCTGCTCAGTTGGCTGCCCAGCTGCTAATGCTTGATGGGCACCTTCAAAGCCCTGGAGTGCTTTGTCTTCCAATGGCTCATTATATTTAAAGATAAGACACCTAATACAGAACCATACTTTATATCATAGAAATTTTGGCTAGGGATTTGAATGAAGCCTCACTTCATTCCTGTGGATGTAGTTCAGGCCTGAGTGTCACTGCATTGCTAGGGCCAGGAGAAACAGCTGAAAAGTTGTGATTAGTGCACTCAAATGCAAAGGAGGGTAGGGCTTCTGCACCTTTAATAGTTGCATGACAACTATTGAAATACCCTTCATCTATGTAAGTATTAAAGGTACAGAAGTCCCATCCACTTTTTGCATCTGGCCATCCTCGATGAAGCAATGAAACAAGCAATGACTTTGGAAGTAGAAGTAAAAGGTGATGGAAGAATGGTATGAATCCTATATAGCAGGGGTGTCAAACTCGCGGCCCGCGGGCCAATTGCAGGGACTGGGAGGGCACGGGGGAGGGGCCCTGTGGCCTTCAAAGCACTGGCAGCACCCGGGCCGGCCACGGGATGAGCAGCCCACCACCACCGCGGGGGTGGAATACTTGATGCGGCCCAGCCTCACCCAGACTCTACTTCCAGCGGCCCCCAGGTAAGTTGAGTTTGAGACCCCTGCTATACAGCCACATCCTGAGTACTTGGAGTCCCATGCAAGATGATCACAAGTTAGCCCAAGGCTATGGCAGCCCAGTTTCCACTTTGAGGTCACTCTGGATTCCTGATTCAATTATCTTTGCACTGCTTCTGTAACTGATCTTCTTCCTTTCATTTTAGATTCCAAACTGAGTGACGCTACCAAAGGTAAGCTCATTTCTTATATTTGCTTTTATCTAAGCTCAAGGCTGTGGCCTATTCAGCAGATACTTTAATTTTAGAATACCCACATTTAAGGGATGCTATAGAGAAGCACTCACCTGGGCACTGAGCTCTGTGTGGAATGGTGATTTGGAAATATGCAATGGGAATAGCAATAGTTATTTTACATTAACAAATAAAATTGAAAACAGAATCCCACATTTTTATTCTATATAATATAATATCAAACTCTTTTTCTGAACGCCAGTCCTCATGTAGGCAAAATGCCATGATCCATACACAAAAGTAAGGCAAGTGTGGAGAAAACCCAGATTGAAATCAACAAAATATTGGGAGGGGATAAAAGGGGAAAAAACCCCAAATAATTGAGTACTAATTATGCTGAGTGGCTTTAGAAAATGGAATGTAGGGAGAGTGTTGGGAACCAGGAGAATCAAATTGGAGCATCTTGGGAAAATGCAAGGTTGACTGTCTGTTCCCTTGAACAGGAGTGTTCCACACGTCAACATTTTGTTCCAGGTTGCTTGCACACTTTAAAACAATGGGAAACATGAGAAAAGCTTGAGTGGATTAAACCAAAGTCTCAGCTAGCATCACACTAGCCCATTAGATGCTTCTAAGAATGTGAAGCCCTTTCTTGCATTTTGTCCCCAGCAGATAGTGGTTGTGGTAAACTGCTTGCAAACACAGAATTTCCACTGAACTATCCTAGTTAATACTTGTCCTCATGATATTCTCCTCTTCAGTATGTGGAAAGCAGGGTTTTATGAACCGGATCGTAGGGGGGGAGAACTCCCAGGATGGTGAATGGCCCTGGCAAGTCAGCATCAAGATGAATGGGAAGCACCACTGTGGAGGGTCCCTCATTGGAGATCAGTGGCTTATCACAGCCTCACACTGCTTCAAACAGTAAGTATGGACTTGGCACCTCGTGGGGTCGGGGCCAAGGAGAGACCTGGTAAGGCACCTCCTTGTCCTGTCTCTCTTTGTGTTTCCAGGTTCTGCACACCATCCAATTTCACAGTTCTGCTTGGAGCACTGAAACTCTCAGATCCAGGTCCTCATTCCATCACAGTTGATGTAAAGAAGATCATCCTCAACCCTACCTATGATGGGGATGTGAGGAGTGGAGACATTGCCCTGGTTCAGCTGGAGCAGCCAGTGAAATTCTCCCATCAGATCATCCCCATCTGCGTCCCTGATGCAAATGTCACCTTTGCCCCAGGACACAAGTGCTGGGTCACTGGTTGGGGGGATGTCCAAGCCAGAGGTAAGTGCAGAAAGAGAAACTAATTTTATGGCAGGAAAGGAGTAGAAACCTAGACTTCTTTCAGATTAACAGCCATTCTCTTTTTCTGGGGAACCCTGGGAGTTATTACTCTGACTGTGAGAATGGGAGCTAAGACTCTTTTACAGTGAATGACATCAATGGATTCTAGCTCCCAAGATTCTTTAGAAAAAACTTGACAGTTATCTAGAATCATAATAGAGGATGGATGTCTGTCAAGCAGCACCATTGTACCAAGACTGTGTAACTTGGACATCCAAAACTTGACAGCATGCTCAGAGGATCATACAGGCGAGCAACTTGAGCTGACGTTGTTGCTGTTAATGCTAATGCATTATCCTAATTAATGCAAACGTGCCTGTGTGTTTGAAGCCTGCAGTACCAACCTCAGTGGTGAGGTGGCAGACTGTTTGTTTATTTATTAAATTTAGATCCTGCCTTTTCTTTTTCTTAAAGAACTTAAAAACAACCCTGTGAAGTAAGCTGGGCTGAGAGTCTGTGACTGGCCCAAAGCCACCCAGTTGCCTTCATAGCCAAGTGGGGACTAGAACCCAGATCACCCGAGTCCCAGACTGCATTCTTCACCACTACACCACACTTCCCTTACCAGAACTGAGCTTTGCAGCTGATATGGTTTGAAGCCAGAAGGGAATGTTTCCTCAAGGAAAGAGAGTGGACAGAGCCCTCCTTCAGCTAGCTGTGGAGTGCAGCAGGATATGGGCTGTGTCTAAAAATGGCAGAAATTGCAACTTCACTGAGATGGGATGGGGACAGTGCGTCCAACTCTGACAGTGGTGATCTTTGCTTCAAGGCTTTATTCTTCCAACCTGCGTGGAGTGGCGCCAATTTGTTAGTCGTGACATAAAGCAAAGATATGATTGTAGCATACACGTGCCCTTAGGCAGCAAGAGGCTATGGCTATGCACAGTTGCATGCATAAGCTGTCTCTGGTATTTCCAGTTAATCCCTAACAAAACCAGTTTAAAGATTTTAGTTAGGAGATGGACTGGAGCAGATTCTCCATACCATTAACAGTTACATGATGACAGGCAGAAAACAGGCAAGTGAAGAAAAGCAGCTGTGACTACATCTACAGGACAGGAAATGCTCTACTTGCTGAATTGCAGCTTGTTATTACAGCTGTTAAAGGCTGTAAGTTGTGTGATTAAAATAAAGTTGGCACACTCCATGGAGTGATGTTCAGGATGGGATGGAGGAAGCAATAAAAAAAGTAAGTGAGGTCTAATCTATAGGGGGCTGAACACATTTCAGAGAACACATTTTGGAGTCCTGAACCTGAGGCACTAAAGATAAAACATGACAAAGGGAAAACATAATGCAAACAGTGATCTAATTGCAATTATTACAATAAAATGCAAAATTGGGCTGAATATAAATGCATGGAGGGGTAGCTTGAGAAATTGGCATCACTGGGCACTTACCAAGGCCATCACCCCAGCAGGGGGTCCATTGCTGAGTACTGAATCCCCCTGGCATCTTGACATTATCTCTTGCTCTCCCCTGCTCTGGCTCTCTGGACCAAAAGGAGAGCACTAGCAAACATCAGAAGCAAGCAAAAAGAACAGCAGCTGTTCCTGCCTCTCAGCCATGTGCCCTTTCCACTCTGAATAAGATGAGGAATTGAGCCCAGTGAAAAAGCAAAATCATGCGAGGGATCATATGAAGAAGGGGAGAGAACTGTTGAAGATGCGTTTCACAAAGTCCTCCGAAAACTAGAATCCAGAATATCCCTTCAGTTTATCCTGGATCCATGCAGCACAGAGCTTTAATAATCAAACACAACACCTCTTCTTCGGAAACTAACTTGGGGCTCTGGGTTAACTCTGGGTTAAATCTGTTCCATTCGACCACCACTGTTCCATTTGTAATGGGATTGATTACAGTGGAATAGAAATTTACTTAATCCTCAGATCTGTGTGAAATCTGATGAACAGCTAAATTCTAAATAGCTTCTTAGGCACAGGGTAGGATTGGATGAGTTCATGTAAGCATCTAAGATCAAATCCCTTAAGAAACACTAGTCTCTTACAGAAATACAGAGGAATAAAAATCTTCCCTCTTGGTTTCCATTGGTTGATTATGAATGTCTCCTCACATCCCTTGAAATTAAATCTAACTTGGTTCTCTTTGCAGATCGGTACCATACCTCTAATGTACTAAAAAAGCTGGAAGTTCCCATAATAAGCACAAATACCTGCAATGCCCTCTACCGTCAGAACTCTGGACATCCAAAGGACAGGAGGGACATTAAGAAGGACATGATCTGTGCTGGCTTTGCTGCTGGGCGAGGGGACGCCTGCCAGGTGAACTCCAACTCTGCTTTAGTCAGTCAGAAAGTGACAGGACTCTGATGCTCTAACTAGAAGGCAGTGCTCTGCAGGGGAGCGGCAGGTCGGGGGGAGGGGTCCTGTTTTTATGACACTCGTTAGCCACTTGTGTTAGAAAGGCACTGGACACTCATGATGGAAGCCAAGCTGGGTAGGAGTCGGGTGAGATTTATTGATCTCATTCATGTGTGTTTAAACACTGCTGGGCACCAGGAGAGGGAGCAGTGCCCTCTCCACCTCCATGTTCTCGTGCCTTGCATTTCGCTGGACAGCCTCTTTTGCATGTCCAGCAAAAGTGTGGCAGAGGGCAGGTGACTGAGGAAACCACAGGATAATGCAAATCCAAGCCTCCCAACCTCCTCCCCTCCCTGCCAACCAAAATGCCCCCTTTTCCACCTCCCTAGCACTGAGCTTCTGACCTCACAGAGGCTGGTTGTTTCCACACCAGCTATGAAAGGGTGGAGATGGGAGTTCGCTCAGACATCATTCCTGGCCACCTACACACACACACGCACACACACACGCACCCTGAATCTCTCCATCCCTGGTGCTGGGAATCTGAAGCATCTGACGGCCCCTCAGGTTCTTCCCAGGGATTCAGGATTGTTCCCTCACTCTATGCATTTCAGCCATCCAATAACTGGAGATCTCTGAATGGCAGCATCATGCCCAGAACCTTCTGGCAGTGGCCAGGCTCCAATGCAAATCATGATACCTTCCAGAGCCTTTTACAGAGGACAGCCCTGTATCTGCAGGGGTGTTAGAGGACTGCCCCCTCCTTGAAGACATGCTTTATTTGAAGGACTGTCCAGTCTAAGTTCCTTTTTCAGATAAAAGCATGATAAGCAAGGAGAGCACCCAGTGGCCTTGAAGTTGCCTGTCATCAGCACGTAGCACCCAGACAACCGACTGCACAACCAGGCACATAGCATGGTTTTTAGGCAGCCTCTCCCAACTCCCTAGTGTACGTCCCATAACCTGCTTGACTTTTCTCTCTCCAGGGTGATTCAGGAGGCCCACTGGCCTGCCAGGTGAAAGACACCTGGCTCCTTGCAGGTGTGGTGAGCTGGGGAGATGGATGTGCACAGAAGAACCGTCCCGGTGTTTATGCCCGTGTCACATCATACCAGACATGGATCCACAGTATGATACCAGAGCTGGCTTTCACAAGCACAAACACCAAAAGCCATGGACCAACAGTGAACAACAAAAGTACCATCAACAGTACATCAACTGGCCATTTTAGCCTCCTTTCCATCTTCATAGCTGGTGCTATTTTGCTGCTATTTTCTGAGTAAATTTTCCAGGGAAGGCAGGCTGTTCTGCATGGGAAAAGCTTGGAACTAATCCTGTACACTCAGCTTGAAAGGGGACAGGGTTCATTTGAATTGCCAGTGAAGCAATGAAGAAGTCTTTCCATTCTGGTACAGTTCAGTTAAGGAGCTAAAGCCTGCTTTCTTTGGTCCTGATTCTCAGAGATGTATGAATATCCAGAAATTGAGGGGATATCCCCATTACGTCATTTCTTTGCTTTTCATGGAATCAGCCCTCCACTCCATGGGCAGATTTTGTTTAAAGAGATTATGCAGAAGAACACACAAATGGAATTAGTTTCCCAGCCCTACTGAAGATGGTTGCTGGGACCTTCTGCCTGCAAAACACATGCCTGTCACTCCCAGAGGTTCAATCACTTTAGCTGCAAAATGAGCAGACCCAAATCAACCAGGGGGTCTTGCCCTTGAATGAAGAAGATGCAATGGATGAATCTTTACCCATCGTTGATTTTGGCCTGTCATGCAGCTGCCAAAGGAACAGATTGTCTACCCACATTAAGGTGGTGATATGTTGGACCAAGCATTGGTAACCTGGTTCCCGCAAATGTTTTGGACTACACTGCTTATGTGAACTGGGTCTATGAGAATAGTGGGACCTTTGATGACCTGCCAGTGCTCTGGAGCTTCCAAAAGAAACCAGGAGAGTGACTCATCTGAAGATCATCTTCCTGGATTTCCTTCAAGGAAGAAGCCCCAATTCACCTCAACAAGGTGGATATCTCTATTCAAAGTGGGATTTAGGGCCAAAGATGTCACAAGATCAATGAGCTTCTAAGGACGTTTGTTTTAATTAAAGACAAAAGCAGAGATCTTCAAGAGGGAAGCAATTAATCAAATCAAAGCCATGGGGCTGGCATACATGTATGTCTTCCCCTGTGGGGCAGAAAGCAGTGTAACATGGGAGTGCTGATCATGGGAAGTATCCAGATTTAGTCATCCTAAATCATACATGTCATACAAAATTGAAGGAGCACCATTGAATTAAATGAGACCTAAAGTAGAATGACTAAGCTAGATCCCATTGATCTCAATTGGTATACGTGTCAGTAAATCTGGATCTAGCTCCAGGTAATGGTGCAGGGCAAAAGCTAACCCCAGCCCTCATCAGGGCTTATTTATTAGCCTGAATAAAAGATAATTAAAACTGGTGGAGTCAGGGCCATGCCCATAAGTCTTCCCCCCACCATCTCCAGCTTTTAGTTAAGGCTTCCTGTTAAGTCCTGGTGAGGCACCAGAAATGCACGGATGCTTCCATATACTTTTTAGCCCAGCCCACACTTACATAGAATTTTCCTCCCCATGCCCACCCAATCAGATTTAAGGAGGCATGCATTTGTCAAAACTCTGAAAAGTAGTGTGGATGATGCCTCCTAGACAATCCAGTCTTTGACATAACATCTAACTGGTCCACAGTGACTTAAAAATGGCGTAGTCAGACCTCTTGAGTACTGTTTCCTCTTCTGGCAAGTGTGTTCCTGGAGTGAGAGGCTGGAACCTAGAAGATGCAGGCTCTTTGCTTGCTACAGAAGCACAATCTGGGGGGACAGAGTCTGGGTGACTGAAGGAAAAGGATCAAGATTCCTGAATTCTCTTTCTTGCTTTTTGAAGCATTGCATATGCTATAGTCTAATGTCCTCCATCCACTACCTCTGCTATCCCCAAAGTGAAATTTCTGATGCCACAAATATTCTTGCCAGGTTTAGTTCATGATGACTTTGAGGTTTGCTGAGCCGCGAGCATGAGGCCGCATGTATGTATTTAATATGATCTTATTTATTGTTCGTAATGCATATGACAGACTTTTGTAACCTGCATGCAAATCCTTAGCAAAGCCCCAAGTTTTTGCAAGAGTGTGTGTATTTGTGTGTGTGTGTGTGTGTGTGTGTGTGTGTGTGTAAGCCACAGAGCCACATTTGGTATGGGGCTCCCACACAGTGTTGTCTACCTCTTCCCTTCCCTCACAATAAACTCCTTGAACCCTGACATCTGGGATGAAGCAAGATTTTTCTCTGCTCTGAGATGACACTTATCTGAGGTGGTAGGAATGCGAGCAATGTCACTGCTCTAGACTTTGTGAAACAATAACTTCCAAGTGGGAGGAAATAAAATCAGTCTTGTGACACTTTTTAAAGAAATAATATATGATCTTCTTTATTGAGTTTGAATGCAGAGAGAGATGACCCAACTTCACCCTGTCACAGTCATCACCCTGTCACAGACTTGATTTCCCAGCTCCACCCACTCCTTTCTTTAAGCTATTTAGTCAGGTCAACGCATTCTTCAATCACAACTGCCAAGCTAACTTGCCTGAATCTCTTAGAAGTATGACAGGAGTCTCTTGAGTTAAACTGGTTCAACAGGGACAAAATAAACACCTTTCTGTTATGTTTCCTATGAAACCCGCCCCATCTGAAGCTGTGATTGGCCTCAAAGAGTGGGATTCCGGTAATGCATTGTTTCTCCCACGGTTTTTCTTTCTCTCCTCAGGAAACCATGAACATTTTAGTTCTCTGAGGGCCAAATTAAACATTACACAGAATATGTGTAAATAGTCCTCTTCATATTTTCTTTATTATTATTATTGCTACTAATTTAATGAAAAGAAGCTTCAAAGGCTGCAACTGAGAATAGAAGGGGAGTTGCTGTTTCCCTTTCTTTCATAACATCTTTTCACTCAAAAAGAAAAGTTTCTCCAGTCCAGTTTCCCACCATCAGGGATTTCTGGGGAGATAAAAAGCTTTTCTACAGCATGTTAATTGTTGTATCCAGTTTAGGATACCTCACAGATTTAAGCTCTACAAAACAAGTTTTACCTTTCCTGCTTTTCTTTTCTGCACTGTGCAACAGCAGAATAATACTCATACAAAAGTAGTTCCTTCACTTTCAGAAATAATAGCCCATTATCCCTAGTCTGAAAAAACTTGGGAAAGTGTTCCTTTAAAAAAGAGAAGCAAAACTGAAGGCTTACAGCAGCATCCAAACGACTCTTGAGCAACTGTTCTGACTCATGAGCACCCAATAAAGGCCTCATTATAGCATGCCTGAATTTTCCCTATGGGGGAAGAAAAGCTACTTCTGAGTTAACAAGAGGCAGGCAGGGAAAAGGTAAAGTAGGTGCTTCACACCCACCCCACCCCACCCCACCCCATCCCACCCCACCCCACTTCCCATATTTTCTATTCAGACTGGAGGCATTTTATATGTCCTTCACATTTAAAAGCAAAGAAGTGGGAGGCTGCTTATGGGTCTCTTGCATACTGGCTTGCTTGGCTCTAGGAGGGTTATCAGGTGGCACTAAGAAACAATTCTCTTAGCATCCCCATCA